AAGATAAGTTGCAGAGACGGCGGATCTTGACAGGCTGGAGAGTTGGGCGGACCGGAACCAGATGAAGTTCAACACTCAGAAGTGTAAGGTGCTCCATCCGAGGGTAAACAATCCCCATCATACCTACAGGCTCAGTGGCAACAATTTGACTTGCACCACAGCCAAAAGGGACCTAGGGGTAGTGATTGACCATCGCATAAACATGACCCAGCAGTGCAATGCTGTGGCCAGCTGGGCAAACAACATGCTGGCATGCATTAACCATTGCATCTCATGCAAAACTAAGGAAGTGATACTCCCACTGTACTCCACACTAGTGAGACCACAGCCGAAGTACTGTGTCCAGTTCTGGGCGCCATGCTTCAACAAGGACATGGAAAAACTTGAGAGGGTCCAGAGAAGAGCCACCCATATGGTCAGGGACTTGCAAGACAAGCCATACAAGGAACGGCTGAGGGATTTGGGCCTCTTCAGCCTACAGAGGAGAAGGCTGAGAGGGGACTCGGTAGTGACTTACCGCTACATCAAAGGAGTACATCAAGAACTCGGTGAACAGCTGTTCATCAGGGCACCCCTGCGGAAGACCAGGAGCAATGGATACAAACTCCTGGAAGTCCACTTCAGGCTCAATTCCAGGAAAAACTTCACAGTCAGGGTGTCCAGACTGCAATAAACTCCCTCCAGTGGTGATGCAGTCACCTACCCTGGAAATCTTCAAAAGGACACTGGACAGTCACCTCGCTGGGGTCACTTGACTCCAGTTGTCTTTTCCTGCCTAATGCAGAGGGACTGGACCTGATGATCTACAAGGTCCCTTCCAAGCCATAACAATCTATGAATCTATAAGTGCCCCCTATGACTACTCCAATGGCATGTGAGGAGCAGGGTAATGATGAAGCATGGGCTAAGGTACAATGGTAACATTTAAAATTGACACAACAAGCCTTGCTGATGAAGGTATAATTGTTCTGAGAACTCAGAGGCATACTTTAAGAGTGCTAGGCAGCTTAATGGGCCAGCACAATGATGACACACCAAAGTGTTGCTGATGATGACATGCAGTGTCTAACTAATGGAATACAAGGGACTGATATGATTAAAACTCCATCCAGCTGCCTGTGGCTCCCCAGTACGTCTGTGTGAAATTTCACCGGGTATTTCGTTTCAAAGCCGTTTCAGTGCATTTTGAGCTCCAAACAGTAAAATCAAAACAAAACAAAAGCCTTCAAAACAGCTTTGAAACAAAACAACAAAACTTTCGAAACGTTTTGAGTTTCAAAGCCGGGCTTACTTGGCTTCAGAAAGGCGGGCCTACCTTGGCTCCAGCGCCGGCCCCAGCCGGCAGCAGCAGCCTCCTGTCATCCGGCGCAGATCCAGGGGCACACCGCCCGGGAGGATTCTGGCACAGCCCCCAGCCCTCCCAAAGCTGCGGGTCCCTGGATCTGCGTGCTGGATGACAGTGTGCTGTCGCTGCCAGCTAGGGTCAGTGGCAGCACCAATCTTCCCTGCGTTTGGCAGGGTCAGTGCCCAGCGCTGATCCCAGCTGGCAGCAGCAGCCTCCTGTCATCTGGCAGGCAGATTGGGGGCCTGCCCTCACCCCCAAAGGGCTGTGGGGGCTGTGCCAGACTCTACCCGGGGGTGTGGGCCTCTGATTTGCCTGCTGGATGACAGGAGGCTGCTGACTAGCTGGGATCGATGCTGGGTACAGCCCACACCCAGCACTGGGAAGATTGGTGCTGCCACTGGCCCTAGCCAGCAGCAGCAGCAGCCTCCTGTCATCTGGCAGGCAGATTGGGGGCCCACCTGCACCACCGGGAGGAGTCCGGCGCAGCCCTCCCAGGGGTGTGAGGCCCCAGTCTGCCTGCTGGATCACAGGAGTCTGCTGCTGCCAGCAAGTGACAGGAGTTTTGCTTGTTAACAACTTGAGGTGCAGTTTCCCAGAAACCTTTGCACCTATATCCTTGAAACTTGACAGGCTTCATGCCCTCAGAAGGGGCTACCATCCCTGCAAGCTTCAGACAAATCAGGCAAGAAATGACTAAGTTTAGGCATTTTCATGATTCCTCATTATAGCCTATGGGTGAAACGTTGAAACAGCGAAACAGTTTCAACAAAATGAAACGGACAGTACTTTTGAAACGAAACAAAACTTGAAACAAAACACTGTTCCATCAAAGCAGAATGGTGCTGTTTTGCACAGCCCTATTCCCCAGGTACCCACAACTGTGCAGAGCTTTAGGCACCAATCTGGAGTGAAGCTCAAATTTATGCCTCCAAATCCACAGAGAGGCATTGTAGCTCCTCTCCCATTACGTTCTCTCTTGAGTCCTTCACAAAATTGACTAAGAATCATAGAATCATAGAACATTAGGGTTGGAAGGGACCTCAGGAGGTCATCTAGTCCAACCCCCTGCTCAAGCAGGACCAACCCACACTAAATCATCCCAGCCAAGGTTTTGTCTAGCCTGGTTTTAGAAACTACCAAGGATGGAGATTCCACTACCTCTCTGGGTAACCTGTTCCACTACCGTCCTAATGGCAAAGTTTTTCCTAGTATCTAACCTAAACTTCCCTTGCTGCAACTTGAGACCATTTCTCCTTGTTCTGTCATCTGCCACCACTGAGAACAGTCCAGCTCCATCCTCTTTGGAACCCCCCTTTAGGTGGTTGAAGGCTGCTATTAAATCCCCCTCTCACTCGGCTCGCTTTGCTTCACTTCTATAGACCAAATAGTCCCAGTTCCCACAGCCTCTCCTCAGAAGTCATGTGCCCCCAGCTCCCTAACCACTTTTGTTGCCCTCTACTGGACTCTCTCCAATTTGCCCACATCCCCTCTGTAGTGGGAGGCCCAAACCTGGATACAGTATTACAGATGTGGCCTCACTGATGCTGAATAGAGGGAAATAATCACTTCCCTTGATCTGCTGGCAACACACCTACCAATGCATCCCAGTATGCTGTTAGCTTTCTTGGCAACAAGGGCACACTGTTGGCTCATAATCAGCTTATTATCTACTGTAATCCCCAAGTCCTTCTCTGCAGAGCCGCTGCCTAGCCAGTCAGCTCCCAGCCTGTACCAGTACATGGGATTGTTCCATCCTAAATGCAGGATTCGGTACTTGTCCTTATTGAACCTCATGATATTTCTTTTGGTCCAATCCTCCAGTTCCCCAAGGTCACTCTATCTTAGCCCTACCCTCCAGCATATCTACTACTCCCCCCAGCTTGGTGTCATCTGCAAACTTGCTGAGTGTACACTCTGTGCCATCTTCCAGGTCATTAAACAAAACCAGGCCCAGGACAGATCCTGGGGCACTCCTCTTGATACCAGCTGCCAGCTAGACATTGAGCTGTTGGCTACTACCCTCTGAACCTGAAGCTCCAGCCAGTTTTCTGTCTTCTTTACAGACCATTCATCCAGCCTGTACTTCCTTAGTTTGCCTGTAAGGACATTGTGGGAGACTGTATCAAAAGCCTTGATAAAATCAAGGTATATCACATACACTGGTCTCCCCAAATCCACAGAGCCAGTCACAGAAGGCAATCAGGTTGGCCAGGCATGACATTGGTGAATCAATGCTGACTGTTCCTAATCACCTTCTTCTCCTCCAAGTGCTTAGACATGGATGCCTTGAGGACCTGCTCCATGATTTTTCCATTGACTGAGGTGAGGCTGACTAATCTGTAGTTCCCTGAATCCTCCCTTTTCCCATTCTTAAATATGGGCTCTCTATTTGCCCTTTCCCAGTCTTCTTGGACCTCTTCCAATCTCCATGATTTTTCAAAGATAATGGCCAGGGACTCTGCAATCACATCAGCCAACTCCCTCAACACCCTTGGATACATTGCATCTGGCCCTATGGACTTGTACACATCCAGCTTTGCTAAATAGTCTCTAACTTGTTCTTTCACCACTGAGGGCTGCTCACCTCCTCCCCAAACTGTGCTGCCTGGGGCAGTAGTCTGGGAGCTGACCTTGCCCGTGAAGAGTGAGGTAAAAGAGGCATTGAGCACTTCAGCCTTTTCCTCATCATCTGTCACAAGGTTGCCTCCTCCATTCAGTAAGGGACCCACACTTTCCATGTTCTTCCTCTTGTTGATATCATATATGTAGAAACCTTTCTTGTTACTCATCACATCCCTTGTTAGCTGCAGCTCCAACTGCGCTTTGGCCTATCTGACTTCATCCCTGCATGCCCGAGCAATACTCTTATACTTTTCCCTCATTTTTTGTCCAAGTTTCCATTTCTTATAAGCTTCTTTTTTGTGATTTAGCTTACTGAAGAATTCCCTACTAAGCCAAGCTGGTCTTCTGCCATACTTGCTAGTCTTCCTGCATATTGGGATGGTTTGTTCCTGCACTCTCAGTAAGGTTTTTGAAGTACAGCCAGCCCCCTGGACTCCTCTCCCCCTCAGACTGGCTTCCCAGGAGATCCTGCCCATGGGGTCCCTGAGCCCCAGTCTGCTTTTCTGAAGTCCAGTGTCCTTACTCTGCTACTCTCCTTCCTTCTTTTCCTCAGGATCCTGAACTCAATCATCTCCTAGTCACTGCTGCTCAAGTTGTCATCCACTATTATATTCCTCACTAATTCTTCCCTGTTTGTGAGCGGCTGGTCGAGAAGAGCACAGCCCCTAGCTGTCTGCTCCAGTACTTACACCATTTAGGGGCCAACTTAACTGAATAACTGGAGTTCAAGAAAATCTGATTTATTAGCAACAATTAGTGTATTCTCTCCCTGTCACTCACACTCTTGCTCTATTTATCTCTATTTTATACACATAAATAAAACCTGTTCCATTAATAATGTATGTGCTCTGCAAAGGGGTATAGTGCTTTAACAAAAGTGTGTGTGATTTACAGAGACAATATTGTTATTAACTAATCATTATTAACTAGCAATTAGAGTTAGTTTGTAGTACCACCTGATCCATTTACAGAGCTTTTCATCAATAGGCCTGAAGTACTTTACAAAATTAGTATAATTATTTCTGTTTTACAGATGGGGAAACTGCAGCACAGAAAGGTAAAATGACTTGTCCCTTGTCACCCAGCAGGCTAGTGGAAGAGCCAAGAACAGAGCCAAGATCTTCTGGGTTCCAGTCCACTCCTGTGCTGTGAACAAGGCAAAAGGGAGCAACATGTAAAGCATGTGGATTAATTTTAAATTAGCTTTGTTGATTTATGTTACTTTGAATGGGACTGGCCCTGGGTTTATCTGAGTCTGCCTCCTACAAACTCCATCTACATTCACATACCCCCTTGGTATTTAGGGGGTTCTGCCCTCACAGCTGATATTAGAGGATGATTGGGTTTTTCCATTAGGCATTGACTCCTCCCTAAAATCAGATCACTTAATGTCACTTCACTTTGAAAAAATATCTAAAAACTTTTTCCAGAACCATTTAAACCTTATTACCACTGTTTTATTTTTCCATCTGTTCATAAATTTGTTGAGAGGGTTTTGAATAAACCAGACTGTTGTTCAGCCCCCAGGAGCTTTTTGCTAGGTGTGCAGCCTTGTCAATTAAGTTGTTGATATTTATTCTTATTTGTGGACTGTCCTAATACTGCCTATTTTACAAAGTGGGGATCTGACCTACTTCCAAATAGCCAAGTGGGGATTAGTATTGTAGTTAGCATGTCAGCCATGCATATTCCAGGAAAGGAAAGTTGTTTTCCAAATGTTCTATCAGGGGACTTCAACATCTGTGAAGAAGTATCATTAGTAATTACACAATGTTCATGTTTGGTTAGGGCGACTCACTTATTTTTAACTCTTAGCCAGATAGAATAGTACACAGACACACCCTTCCGCTACATCTGTATCACGTGATCTCCACATCCCAGATGTGGGGAAAAATGGAAAATAAGTTCACACGTGTTCAGAAATGACTTAACACATTATAACTAACACAGTTTTAACTATGATTTGTCACCTACTATAGACAGAACGGGTCATGTTTAGCTGGTCATGATTAACCTGAGACTCCATCCTATTGCAGCATTAACAAGTTTTCAAGAGTGATATCTTCACAGTCTAGACAAAAACCATGAGCTTTGGTATGAGGGCCTGGATATCTGAACAAGTTACCAAGGGGTAAAATGGAGTGGGACTTCATCATGTGTCAGCTGCTCGACATGCATGCTCTTCCCCCAAAGTAAATGAAAGTTAAACTCATTACTGAAAGAACAGTAAACTGAGCACCCACAAACTCCCGTGGAAGTCAGTGAGGGTTGAGGGGGGAAAGAGGGAGGGGGGCACTCAGTACATAGCAGGTTAGCACCTGGAAAGAGGTGGAAAAGTTTAATTCCTTTATGTCATAGCTGTAAAAACTGGATACAAAGCCAGAGATAGCTCCTACACTGCAAGAAATGGATATTGTTTTTGTGTGATGGTTGTGAAATGGGCCAAGAATTCTGATCTCAGAGGGGAGACAAAAGAATGTTTATATGATTAATAAAATGGCATTTTGTACTTCTGTAACAGCAGAGCAGCCCTGTTTCCCTTGCTAATAATACTGGGGTTAGGCTGGGATTAAAATACTTGTCTTTTAGCCTCATCTATCATTCGATTAGCTGCCATGTAAAATGGACACTCCTGCTATTGTCCTTAAAATAAAGTCTAATTCTTTGGCCAGGATGCAGAGGGAGATGCCTGTCTTTATTTTTTTGCTCCATTTACCACAAAACTTGTTTTTGTTAACTAGAAAATCTCATTGTCCAGTTCTGAGTTTAGTTACACAATCACAACTCTTCTGAGGTTTCAATCAAACAGCATCTTGCTTAATACCCTTGTTTGCTTTTTACAAGTCTGATTCCCTGTCCTTGGCATTATGTAAATCAGATTCATGCTATCTTGAGAAATTTACTGAAATGGGGTATTGGCTCTATTAAACTGAAAGTGGAACCCTCAAGGGGATTGGTGCCTTCAGTGATCTATTAAAATAAATCATTCCT